TTCCCTCTTCCCACATCCCCTTCCCTGTCCCCAGGTGCCCTTCCCTGTCCTGTTTCCCCTTTTCTGTCCCTCTGTCCACGTGTCTCCTTCCCTGTCCCCACGTCCCCTTCCTTCTCCCCTTTCCCTGTCCCCATGTCCTGTTCCCTGTCCCTGTGTCCCTTTCCTTGTCCCCATGTCCCTTTCCCTGTCCCATTCCCTGTCCCTATGTCCCTTTCCCTGTCCCATTCCCTGTCCCTGTGTCCCTTTCCTCATCCCCATGTCCCTTTCCCTGTCCCATTCCCTGTCCCTGTGTCCCTTTCCCTGTCCCATTCCCTGTCCCTCTGTCCCTCTCCCCTCATCCCACCCCTGTTTTCCAGGTCTCCAACGTTCCTACGGCCGGAATCGCTCCCTCCCGGCTCCAGCTCCGGCTCCAGAGGCTCCGGGAGAGGCTCCAGGTGTGCAGGTGGGTGTGGCCTCACCTGCCCCACCCATGGGACCCCCCGTGGCACCCCCTGAGCCACGTCCCTCCCGTTCCCTCCCTTCCCAGGGATCCCAGGCCCCGCTCCTGGCCCGGACACGACGGATCGCCCGGAGCGCCCTCCTGAAATCCGCCCCCTACAGCAGCTGCTGCCGCAGGAAAGGGTCGGGAACACCGGGAATGGCGCTGGGAATGCCGGGAGAGGGGCTGGGAGGGTGAGGGGGGGAGCTCTGGGATTCCCAGGAGGGGACTGGGGGGATGAGGGAAAGCTCTGGGATTCCCGGGAAAGGGACTGGGAGGGTGAGGGAGGGCTCTGAGGTTCCCAGAGGAGGGACTGGGAAGAGAAGTAAAGCTCTGGGATTACTGGGAAAGGGACTGGGAGGGTGAGGGAGAGCTCTGGGATTACTGGGAAAGGGACTGGGAGGGTGAGGGAGAGCTCTGGGATTACTGGGAAAGGGATTCCTTGGATGAGGAGGGTGGGGGAAAGCTCTGGGATTGCCGTGTCCTCGCTGCCATCAGGTGTTTGTGGGACTCACCCCTCATTCCCTGTCCCATCCCAGGGCCCAGGGAAGCAGCTCCCGGGCCGGCACCACCCGGACGGTGCCGGAGCCGCTCCGGAATGTGGGAGAATCCCAGGATGTGGGAGAATCCCGAGGATCCCCAGCCCTGCTGCTGGAACACGGCAGCGGGAGGGCAGGTGGGAGCCAGGGGGGCACCTCCGGGGCAGGATTGGGATCATCCTGGATCATCCCATTCCAGAGGGTCCCACACCCGCCTCGTTCCCTCTCCAGATGTTCCGAAGGCTCCGACCCGGAAAGGAAAATCCTGCTCGGTGTGGGACGAGCTGAGCCCGGAGCGGCGCCGGGTCCTGCGGCACCACCTGCACCTGCGCAGGTGAGCTGGGCCCAAACCGGGCCTAAATGAGCCCAAACCGAGCCCAAACCGGGCCTAAATGAGCCCAAACTGAGCCCAAACCGAGCCTAAATGAGCCCAAACCGAGCCCAGAGTGAGCCTAAAGTGAGCCCCAAACTGAGCCCAAATTGAGTCCTGAACAAGCCCAAAGGGAGCCCAAACTGAGCCAAAACTGAGCCCAGACTGAGCCTTAACTGAGCCCCCAAAATGAGCCCAAACTGAGCCTAAACTGAGCCCCAAACTGAACCTAAACTGAGCC